TGAGGAATGTCCCTTCTACTCCTATTTTGCTGAGAGTTTTGATCAGAAATGGGTGTTGGATTTTATCAAATGCCTTTTCTGCATCAATTGATTGGTATAGTCTTTTGCTAGTCTTTTTTGGTTGCCATTTGCTTGATGTATCTTTTTCCAACCTTTGATTTTCAGTCTGTTATTGTCTTTGTCTCTGAGGTGTGTTTCTTGTGAACTGCATATTGATGGGTTATGTTTTTTTCTTATGCAGTCTGCAACTCTTGTCTCTTGAATGGTACATTTAATCTTTTGACATTCAGTGTCATTATTGACAAGCATGAATTGGTTGTTGTCATTTTGTTATGTGTTTTTTTCATGGTGTTCTTGGTTTCTTAGTTCCATATAATTTTCTGTGCTGAGCTCATTATATTTATGAATCATGTTATCATTTCCTTTGTTGTTATTTTTTAGTATTTGCTAAATATTTGTGCTTGTCCTCTTTTTTATTGTGATTTGAAGTTTTATCATATTTCTTTGAACTTACCTTGTGATTCATAATTTTCTCCCTGAGTTTAGAACAGTCCAGTCTATCTTGAAATTCTCTTGACTTCCTCACCATTTAAAAGTTCTGTAACTACACTATTCTCCCCCTTTTTTGTTTTGTAATTGTCCTCATTTGCCAGTTGATGTTTCTGCTTCCCTGTTTACAATCTTGTAAGCTTATTTTACTTTGAATGCATCTATAGCTGTATTGGTTTCTGGGTTATGTCATCTTGTGTATTAATGGTCAGTTGTTGTTTTCTATTATTGGTTCTCTGTTCAAAGGATTCCCTTTAGTATCTCTTGTAAGGTTGTTCTGGTTTTAACAAATTCCCTTAGTTTCTGCTTATCTTGAATTCTTGTAATTTCACCATATTTGAGGGACAGTTTTGCCAGATATAATTCTTGGTTGGAAATTTTTCTCTTTCAGGTTTTTATATATGCCATCCCATTTCCTTCTCACTTCCATGGTTTCTGCTCAGAAATCAGAGCTTATTCTTATTGGTTGTCCTTTCTAAGTAATGTTCCCCCACCCCCACCCGGTGCTGCTTTCAGGATTCTTTCTTTGTCTTTGGTTTTGATGAGTTTGATAATGATATGTCTTGGTGATTTTCTTTTGGGCTTTGTCTTGTTGGAGGTTCTTTGTACTTCCTGAATGGATATATTATTATCTTTCATCATATCAGGGACGTTCTCTTCCAACAAATCATGGACGATTTTCTCAGTGGTTTTTTTTCTTTTCCTGTTCTAGAATTCTGATTACACATAGGTTATTCCTTTTGATGGTATCCCATATGATCCTGAGACTTTCTTCATTTTGTTTTGATCTTTTTTCTGATTGATCCCTTTCCAAAGATGTATTTAGATATTTGTCTTCAATCTCATTAATTCTGTCTTCCATTGATTCAATTCTACTCCTTTGCCCTTGTGATTTGAAGTTATCTATTACTGAAAATTTAGTATTAAACTTCTGGATTTCTATCTGTAGATTTTGTATCATGTCTAATTTTTCATTTATTTTGTCATTTTGTTCTTATATTTTCTTCTGAAATTGTTCTAGGATTTTGTCTGTGTTTTCCTTGATCTGTCTCTCAATCCTTTGTAGATACCTAAATATTATTCTCTTGAATTCCTTATCAGGGAGTTCTAATGCTGCTTCTTCCTCAGGGATGTGTTCTGGGTCTGTATCCTGCTCCTTTGTTTCTACCACTTTATCGTGCTCTTTGTGTGGACTGTGACAGTCTGTTGTCTCTGAGACATTGTGACATTGTTGCATGTAAATCTCTGTTAACTGTTTATGAAGAGTAGTTGAGGATAAGTCAGGGTCTTCTTGGTGGTTGTTTATCATTGGCCAGTTGGTGGAGAAGAAAGTGTTGGCTTACACTCAGTAAGTGCAGCTGCACAGGTTTGAGTGTAGTTGTTTCATATGGGCACTGTTGCTGTCTCCCACTCAGTTAGACAAAAAGAACAATCAAATAACCATTAAAAAGTAAAAGCAAGTGGACAAAAAACACCGTGTAAACACATGGGAACAATAACGAAAAAGAGACAAAAGAAATAAAAAATAAAAAAGCTGAAAACTGGAACCTGAGGGCCTCTGGTGATGTAGTGCCTAAGGCATTTGAATGCTAACCAGAAGGCTGGAGGTCCAAACCCACCAGCCATGCCTTGGAAGGAAGACTGCACAATCTACTACCGTAGAGATACCATCTCAGAAA